AGTTAAGAGATGGTGCTAAAACTGCTCTGATCACCATTGTGGTTGACCTATGGAGGAACTGAATAGGTGGAATGTGACCCTGAACTTGGTGTTTTCCACATTATCAACAATATTCTTTTGGACTACCTGGTGGAATTAAGTCTTGGGGGCACTGTTTTACAGTGATTCCAGTCCTACCTATTGAGATGTCCAGAAGATCATTCTGGAGGACAAATGACCTATGGCATTCCATAGTAACCATGTTGTCTCCATTCTGTTCATCGTCTACATGAAAATGCTTCGGAGATCATCTAGAGCTTTGGATGGGATGACACCCAGATATATTGCTGCTCATTATCTCACTCCAAAGAAGTAGTCAGCATCCTTGAATATTGACTAAATCAGATGAGTAAGGAAGAAATAAGCTGAAATGAAATCCAAACAAGTTAGAAATGATGCCAGTAAATAGGAAACTGAACTCAGAGGATGAGATTCAGACTGTTTTAAATGGGGACACACTCCCCTGAAACAGGAGGTTCATAGTCTGGGAGTGTTCTTTCATATGTAGCTGCCATACTGGATACACAGGTGGTAGCTGTAATAAGGAACACTGAGCATCAGATGAGATCCTTCTTGAGCCAGTTGGATTTGGCAGGCTATCCACATTCTATTACCTCCTGTCTTGACTATTGAAATGTACTTTATACGGTGCTATGCATGAACAGTGTCTGAAAACTACAGTTGATGCAAAATGAGGTAGCTCAGCTGCTAATTGGTGCAAGGTGTTTTCAAATGAGGCCTGTACTTAAAACAGCTGCACTGATAGCCAGCTTTAGGTATTGGTATTAACCTATTGAGCCCTAAATGGTCTAAAGCCTGTCTAAGGAAAAGCCTCTTCCTTTATCAACCTGCTCGGTTAAGACCCGAAGGAGAAGGCCTTACGAAGATACCTGCGCTGTCAGAAGCCTCTATTTCTGACATATGACAGGGAACCTTCCTGTCAGGCTATGAAATACACTCCCTTGGAGTTGTGTTGGGCTCCCTCTCTTTCAGTGTTTAAATCTGTAAGGATGCATCTTCTTTGCCAGGCTTTTCTTATTATTTTAGTATTTATCTTGATGACTTTAATCTGCATTTTTAACTTTTTATATTTTTTGTTCCAAATTTTGTTAATTGCCTTGAGTGCTCAGTAGAATACACAGAGGAAATATTTTCAAAATTGTTGAATTTTGTTGATGTAAAAATATTAAGAGGATAGAGAGATGAAGTTTAAGTTACATGAAACACAGTGTCCCTCAGATACCATGTAACACATTTTGAACCTCAAAATCTAAGGTATGACAATGCACCAGAATAATTCAGTAGTTAAAATGCTGAACAAAGACCTAGAAGGCCAAGATTCACGTCTACCCTCAGTCATGAACATTCAGCGGGTGACTTTGGGCCAGGCACACTCTCTCAGCCCAACCTTACTCACAGGATTTTTATAAGGGAAAATTGAGAAGGCAGAATGCTATGTATGCTTGCAAGAGGAAATGTGGGATGTATTGCAAACATTTGACTTAAAATACTCATCCACCAGGAAAGAAATGGGGTATCAATGTCCCCTTGTACAGTAGGACTTCTTGGTGGATTCTGTCTTAAAAACACTTTGATTTCCCACTCATCTCCTTACTGTTTTACAGCCATTCCTGAATGTACCTCCATGTGAACATTGTTTTGCACTTGTAAAGGGGGTAGTGGACCAATTTGGAGCATACTGATTATCCACTTCCAATGGGACTGGGGACTGGTTTCGAAATGGAATAACTTGGTCATCTGATGGATGACCATTGCCAAGAAAGAGACAAGGAATGTGCAATCCTCAATTCAACTCTCTGCAGCCTTTCATGCTAACAATCATGGTATGTTTCTGTATTAGCTCCATGAAGTGCGGGTTGAAATGGCTCTACTCCTCTCAGCTGGAGTGATTGCTGAGAATGACATCAAAGAATTGGGTCTTATTTATTTATGCAGTTTATACACCACTCCTTTTCTGGAGGCTCTAAACAGCTAACAATACTAAGCAAAAATTAATACAATTGCAATAAATCATTCTGATATGCCATAATTTGAGAGTAGAATGATCTTACTTGTCCCAGATGCCTTATAAACAACCATATTTTTATGGCACACTGCCATTTTTATGGCATTTCCTCTGCTTCACAGATCTTACTGGATGGGCAGATTCAACTCAATGGTGGTGGTCACTGAGTAATCCAGCCTCTGAGCCATGTAAAGCTTTATAGGTTACAACCAGTTCCAAAAGCTAATTGGAAATCAGTGCAGTTCCTGTAATAGTGGTGTTATGTGAACAAACTTCACACACCCATAATTACCTAGACTGTTGCATGCTGCCCCAGCTGAAGCTTCTGAATGGTCTTCAATATACAGTCAGGTCCAGAAATATTGGGACATCGACACAATTCTAACATCTTTGGCTCTATACACCACCACAAT